GGGTGGATATAGCTCACTAGCAGCCTCGTACCGAGGACCTATCCACGTCATCATTTACCCAGAATGCTTTTTGTGTAAATAAAATGGCCCCGTCCGTGTAATATATTTTTAAATTTTTAGTTTAAAAATTATAAAAACTAAACAGTCTACAATATTTTTAGTCTTTATTTTACAGTTAAAATATATGTTTATCAAATAAAGTCTAATGTTACAACTAATCATGGATCCCTTTAAAAAGAACAATCAATGAAACAAATCACGATGCACTCTGTCTTTTGCAAAGATGATTCACTTTCCCGGGTTGCGATAATACTTTTGTCCGAACAAACGCAGAGTATTCTGTCACAATGTGAAACCGTGTCGGCCGTCTTACTGCAGCTCAAGTGATGACATTACCAGGAAACGCTGAGAGTTCAGAGAACTCACAGAGAAGTTCCCTGAATGACCAGACTTACATCCCCTTCTCTTAACTTCAGTGTGTGTGTGTGTGTGTGTGTGTGTGTGTTTCCTCAGCCTACTTACACCCTCCACACAGACACACAATATACAGCAAAACAGATAAATGTGTTGGTATCCTTTCATCATTATAGTAATAAAACTGTAGTGACTGGATTTAAGAAGCTCCACTGTTGTTTCTTGAGTTTCAGGAGCTTTGGTTCTTCTCAACATGTATTTTACCCTACTACCCATCTGGTGTTGCATGTCCTCTTGCGACCACATCTCAGGAGGTTGGCTACCCTTTCATGAATTTTCTTATTTATTGTCAGCTGCAGTCAATGGGACATGAAGCTGCTTAGAGACATTGTTGGGTCCAGATCGAGACCTTGATCTACCTTTTAGGGTCTTTAGGGTCTACATGATAAACAGACGAAGGTTTTGGACATCCTGATGCTTTTAACCGAATCYCTTTTCATGAGAAACGAAGCATTGATTCAGTGAACTGCGAGAGTACCAACAAATACATCTGTCCGTCCACACACGTGCATCCTCGCTCCATTTCCAGAGACGGTGACGTTACCTGTGTACAGCGCACCTACAGGTTCCCAGAGGTGACATTCACTGGTCTATTTATACCAACAGCTGCCCCTATAGGTGCTGCTCCATCCAGTTATAACAACACACATCCTGATGACCCCCCTCCCACAGCGTCCTCCGTCCTCCCACCCTGATCCTGGCCTTTAATGTACCGCCACGCACTTTCTGCGTGCTGGGTTCAAAACGGCCAACAGCACAACGTGTGCTGCTGTGGTTTGTTGTGCAGCGACGACAGAAACCTCACACCCGTGCAAAAACGTTTAACAAAACACACAATCAAGCTGCTTTAACTTCTGTTAGCTTACAGTGTTCAAGGCTGAAGATGTGGCAAAGAGTTACACACATCTGTGTCTAAAGTGCTGCACGTTAAGTCAACATTATTCACATGTAATTGGACATTTTGGACAACTTCAGTGCACATGTTGCTAATTGGTAAATCACTTGAAAGGTTGGCTGGAACGTCCCCGGCTCTGAGGAAAAGGAGTTGCGATAGCAACATGTTTGTCATTGCGTTGCAGCAACTCAGTTCTGCAACGTCTGGGAACCGATGACACCAACAGGAGTTACAAAACCGTCAAAGTTTGGAAACTGAGCCAAGACTCTTTCTTCCCACTGTCGCCTCTTGCTTGGTTTGATTTTATCACCTATTTTTTTATTATTATTTAAAATTTCTTCACTTATATAATAAATTATTTATTAAATCAAACTGTTCTAACAGT